ATGCAGATGATACACTGAGTTATAGAGCTTGAATAATGACTAAGCTAGGCCATTGGCCCATGTAGGTCCGTAGCCACTATAAGCAGTATTGTTGCTTATTTGCTTTATTAAGTAAATAATAGTACAGATGATTCCTGGATAGGGTAGCAATAGTAAAGTTGACATGTGAATTTATGAAATATGTGAAAATTGATGTAAATTTTAAATATTTTTATATACATAATTTTCATATGTACATCTAACTAGGCTTTAAAAAGTTAGTGGGAAAATCCCATTGTCTTGTAATTCTATTATTCACGAGCTTTCTGAAGCTCTTTCGCCTGTGGAAATTACATTTAAAAATTCATTCAAAATACCTTTCATGAATACTCTGTATATTGAATGAAACATCATTGTATTATTATATCTTTAATATCCAATAAAGGAGCTCTGGTAGCGTAGTGGTTAGGAATTGGGCTAATAACCTCAGGATCAGCAGTTCAAAACTACCAGCTGTTCCACGGAAAAAAGAGGAGGCTTTCTGCTCTTGTAAAGATATATATAGAGCCTGGGAAAGCCTGTACAGGGTTGCTCTGAGTTGGAACCGACTCCATGGCACATAACAACAACAACAGCAATATCCAATAGAAATAAAGATTTATTAAAAGAACATCACAGGGTGATGAGGCAGAGTAACTTTTTTCACTGCATCTGCACCTGTTTCTATGAAAAGGAAATATTCATAATTTATAACTAGGGAAAGTTGGTTTTGTAGGCCATTCACAACTGCTACAAAGTGTTTGACATTTTAGTTTCAGGATTTAACTTCCTAGCAAAAGTCATGTGACATCAGCATTTCGTTGCAGTGAGAGCTCTCTCAGGAGTACTTGTAATAGAAAGGAAGACTTTGGGTCTGTGAGGTTGTGTGGTTTTTATGTGATATATGGGCTGTGACATAACTGTTGCATGACTGAGATGTGCTTGTAAGTGCTGTACTATGCAGATGGGTTTTTTCTGAAACAAAGCCAGAAGTAAAATCTTGAATGTGTTCATTTAGTGGGGAAAGAATACTTCATAGAAACATATGGAAACATTTCTAAGTTTTTTTCTTCTTTTCGTTAAATGAGTCTTTTTACTTCGTAGCAGTTTTATGATTGTTGAAGTTAATGTCATTAGCCTCATATTTTCCAAGTTTAGTGAGGAACAGGAAGTCTTACAGTAGGAGGATATTTTGAACTAAACAGATCTCTTTTAGGAGTATACATGTTAGAATTAGATTACATGATTAATAGAAAATAAGGATTAACTCACTGATACACTTTTTCATTGTTAATCATAAGCCTTTGCATATTGAATTATTTTACCATTATGATGGGAGTTGGCGAGGGAATATATACATTGGCTCTTCTTTTTTTCCCCCACTTATTTTAAAATTGTAAAATCATAGTACAACATTAAAGGAATTCATAAACAGAAAAAAAAATACCAGCAGCTTAATATGACTGTTTTAAATTTTCCATGTTTTCTTCAAGTCCATGTCTTTCTATGTAAATTTTTACATGGTTTTATTTATTGTGTATATACAGTTTTTATATGCTTTCCTTGTCTCATAACATTACATTTGAAAACTTTTCCTTTATAGAAGTCACATATTTGTTTTGCCCTTTGTGAAAAACACACATGGAGAATTATATTCTAAACTCCCTTCAAGCTTCCATTAGTTCTTACTCCTTCATAGAGAAATTACTTAGAATGAGCTCCATGTATCTTCTCCACTTAGCTTTGATGCAGAATCTGTGTATATTTTGCAGTTTATACTTCCTTGACTACTTCAGACTGATAACAGTGTATTTAATTATCTATCCCAGAACGTCTTCCTGAAATTGATACACACCATGGATGTACCATCTAAAGGCTATGGTATTCAAAATGAAGCATAACTTTTTGAATATATTCAAAACTAATGGTATCACCATTCACTCATTCTCTTAAACTAATTTTTTTAAAGTAGTATTTTTTAAAGTAACTTGGAAATGGAAAAGAAAAGTAACTTCCCTGCACAATTCCTCAACCTAGGAGATGTCTTTCATTTACTCTCCTATCTTGTATCCATCTAGTGGTTCTTCTTGGTTTGTTAGTGCTGCCTCCTAATTCTTTTTTGGACTCTGGCCTCTTTATTTTACCATTGCCCATATTTCCCATGGGCACTGTTGTAGTAGCTTCACAATTAGTATCCCATTACTCTCTGTCTTCTTCCAGTTCATTCTCAACACGATAACCTCAGAGATCTGTCTAAAACGAATTCTGATTACGTTGTTCAGTGGCTTCCCATTCAAGATAAAATTGATGCTGCTTTGCATGTTAGCACTAGGTCATGTTCTTCTGAGCCTCACAGGTGGAGGCATTCTCCCTCAAATCCGTTCCTAGAGCTATTTCGAACTCCTGCACTACTGTGGTGTGCCCCAACACACTATAGTCTCTCATACCTTCTTCTTGCACATGGTATCACATTTCCCTAAACACTTTTCCTGCTCTAATAGACATTTCTTTTAGCCTTTAAGGCCCAGCTGAATCTTCATATCTTTTACTTGCATTTAGGTGTACATTTTTTTATGTTCTCAGAGTATGCTGTCTCACATGACAACAGAGAGTTAGTGTGTGCCTTAAAAATGTTTTGTTTTGAATTATTAAGTATTGAGTTAATTTTCCCAGTTGTTTACAAAAAGCCCAGGTGGTTCTGAATGATAAGCACTGGAGTACTAAACACAAGTTCAGCAGTTTAAAAGCACCAGCTGATTCATAGGAGAAAGATGAGGCTTTTCTTTTCCATAAAGATTTACAGCTTTGGAAATACTACATGGGGCTGTTATGAGTCTAAATTGATTCAATGGCCTTTGTGAGTATAGTTGTTTAGTAGATATTAGATAAAGCATTTTTATGTATGTTAATATGTTTTAAAGTAACTTCCATGCACAGTTCCTCAACAATACAATCATAGGGTCTTAAAGATAGAGGAGGGACACTGTTTTATATTCATAGGTATCATCTAATAGATGATTCTTTTTTGTTTTTTTCCTCCTTGTTTTAAATTTTTTATTGAAATACAGCAGAGATAAGTGCACCAAATGTACAGCTCATTCCATTTTTACAAACTAAACACACCTGTGTAACCAGCACCCAGATCAAGTAACAACATACCAGCACTTGATAGGCCACTTTGCAATCCCTCCCAGCCTTGTCTCTTTTCTGGTCCTGCTCTGAAGTTTGTGAGGTAGTAGATGGAGCCAATGGACCTGGACAGGTAACGGTTCTAGGTGTACTTGTGCCACTAACCATATATCCTCACTTATTAGAGATTTTACAATTCAAAGTAGTTCCTGGTAAGACTTTCTTATACTTTCATGGAGTTTATTTCTCTTTCAGTCACTTTCATATTTTACAAGAAACCATAATAACTTGGTGTTAGGTGTCCTTGAGTAGGTTCCGACTCACAGGGACCATATGCACAACAGAATGAAACACTGGCTGGTCCCGCACCTTCCTCCCAGTAGTTATCTTTGAGCCCATTGTTACTGCCCCTATGCCAGTTATCTTGTTGGGGGTGAGGGGGGTGGGATGTCTTCCTCTTTTTCACTGACCCTCCACTTTTCTAAACATGATATCCTTTTCAAACACTGATCCCTTCTGATAACATGTTCGAAGTACTAGAGATGAAGTCTTGCCAGCCTGACTTCTAAGGAGCATTCTGGCTGTACATCTTCCAACACAGATTTGTTTGTTCTTCTGACATTCCATGGTACCTTTAATACTCTTCTCCGACACCAAAATTCAAATGCTGTGATTTCTCTACAGGTTTTACTTATTCATTGTCCATCTTTCACATGTGAATGAGGCAATTGAAAATCTCATGGTTTTGGTTAGGCACACCTTAGCCATCAAACTGACATTTTTGCTTTTGAACACTTTAAAAAGGTCTTGTGCAGCACGTTTTCCTAATGCAGTACATTGTTTGATTTCTTGGCTGCTGCTTTCATGAGTGTTGCTGGTGGATCTAAGCAAAATTAAGTCTTTGCCAACTTTATTCTTTTCTCTGTTTATCAGAAAATCAGCTTCTTGGATAATTTGCTCAGCATACAGATTAAATGTTGTTGTTGTTATATTCTGTATAGTCAGTTCTCTTCCAGAGCAACCCTATATAGGGTTTCTGAGGGGCAGCCGGTGATCTTGCACCAACCTTGCAGTTCAAACCGATTTTGCAATCCAGTGCATTAACCCACAGTGCCACACCAGATTAAATAAGTATGGTGAAAGAATTCAGCCCTGGTACACAAAATAGGGCAACTCTACTTTGAGAAGGCAGCTCTTCCCTAGTAGTATTTTGAGTGCCTTCCAACCTGAGGGGCTCACTTTCCAGCACTCTTTCTCACAGTATTCAAGTGCTCTTTATCGTGTTTCAATATTCAGTATTCTGTGGCTGACAGGGTTCCGCAGCCATTCATAAGGCTTTCTGTGACTAAATATTTGGAAGTAGGTCCGTCTTTCCTTCTTCCTAGACTGTCTTAGTGTGGAAGCTCAGATGAAACCTGTCCATCTTGGGTGGCCTGCTGGTATTTGAAATACAGTTGGCATAACTTCTAGAATCACAGCAACACGCAAATCAACACAGTATGACAAACTGACGGATTAGTGGTGCTATTTATAGGTACTAATCTCAAAGATGAAAACTGTTGGAATTAGTAACATTTTCCCTTATGGAAGATAGTTTTTACTGTTAACAAAAAAAATACTTTATATTGATAATCATACATTATTACATTTAGTAAACATGTATGTTGTTGTTGTTGTTAAGTGCCTTCGAGTCGGTAAACATGTATAGGGAACTATTATATACAACTCTTGGTGCCAGGCACTGGGAACACAAGTATATTTAAGACTCTTTCCTTCCCTGTTTTACTTCTTGGTCAGTTTCAAATTAGCTAAGAGCTTTAGATGGGAATATACATAACATAATTCAAATCAATTAGCAATTAGTATGCTAATTGAAAATGTCTATTAAAATATGAAGAGAAACCAATGTTATATCTATTGCTATAAACTAATAAATACATTTATATTTGAGAGGAACTTGGTTACTTGAAAAATTACCTTTTTCGCTTAGCATTGCTTTTTTGAATGTAGTCCTTGGATTAGAGAAAAGTTGTTTCAATTAGGATCAGATTTTAATAATGAGTAATAAAAATAAGTTTTGTTTTTTTTTTAAAACATTGACTGCCGAAGAAAGTTTAAATGTATTCTGTTTAACAAGTTGAATTCTTAGTATTTATATTATAGTTTGTATTTGTTTCTTTATTTAAACCATTGCTGTAGCATGTTTCATATTTTATCAGATGATTATCATATTTCTTTGTATGTTATATACACACAAGAGCTCTTTGTACTGTTGGCGGTGCTTTGACACAGTTCCTACGACAGTAAGTAAATATATTACCTCAACTCCTAATCAGCCTACCATTGCCACTGATGACCCAATGCTTCAGTTGTAACACTATGCTGCTGACCCAGACTCTGGGGACTTGTTTTATTTTATTTTTTGATGCATTGCTGTAGGCAATTTTAAGAGTGTGGAACCAAGCCATATTCTCCCTTGGACTCATTTCCACTTTGATTTCCTATGGGAGACATAGCCTTCCTTTAAAATACTTGGGTATTGAAATTGTTCACCTAATCTGTGCTTACTGGGTGGAGGAGTAATGCCCATTCTCACTGAATTAAAATTTAATAAATCAAACAGTAGGGCTTACCAATGGTACTAACCAATTTTCAAAACGAAAATTTTGTAATTCATGAGATGTTTTTCTAGTAGACACCTTCTTTTTTATATATGTGTTTTTATCGTATACTTATGGGATATGAATGTTTTGGATTGACTTTGTCCCAAAAGGATGTAGTTGAGAACTTACAGGTTATATGATGTTGAAAAGAAATTTAATGGGTTATAAAAACCAGCACTTCATTTTTCCTTGGTAACTAATATGTTATTTGTGAGTTTACAATGAATAGGTCAGTAAATGGTGTAGTAACTTTCAATTTTAGCATTAATAACTACTACTTAAAAACAAAACAGTTTGTTTCCTAATGAGAGTAAAGTTACGTTGTTAGAATTTAGGATGTTTGTAGTTTGAAGTTTGTTTTTTTATTCAGTCATATTTTTAATTGCATCTCTTAAGGAATTTATCAAACATATTATTTACATCAGATGCATTTTAAGGTACTAGGGTTATTAATCTAAGTCAGACACCTATTATTGAAGGAATTTCTCCTTTAGTTGGGGAACAGACATATGTAAGCACATAATTATAATATGTTGTTGTTGTTACAGGCTGTTAAGTCAGTTTGGACTCATACTGACCTTGTATAGGGTTTCCAGGGAGTGGCTGGTGAGTTTGAACCACCGACCCTAGTGGTTAACATTACAGTACTTAGCCTATAGTGCCATACCAGGATTATGAATACAGGGTGCTAGATACTGTGAGGGGTGCACAAGTCTCTGAATACATGGTGATAGACACTGTGAAGAGGCAGAGCTGGTTCAGTGGTATAGTTCTGACCTTCTAGGTGGGAGCTCTGGATTGATTCCCAGCTCGTGAGCCTCAGGTACAACCACCACCTTTTGTCAGTGGCACCTGAAATGTTGTTAGGATGCTAAACTGTTTTAACTTCCAGATTAAAATGGATTAGGAAGAAAGGCCTGGAGATGTACTTTCAAAAATAAACCAATGAAAACCTCATGAGTCACAGTGGTTTGACTCTCAACCAGTCATGGTGAGGACACAGGACCAGAAGTCTTTACTTCTGTTGTTTAGGAGGTTGCCATAAATAGGGGTTCAACTGCGGTTAACAGCATACACTGCTGAATCTTGAAAAGGGAGCCCGAAGCTAAAAGCACTTGCTTATCTTTGAAGTCTTTGCAGAGGAGGTAGCATTTGAACTAAGGCTTAAATGTAAAGTAAGAATCCGTTTAGTATGCTGTTGTTAGTTGGGGGATGAGGTGTTCTAGATTTTTCACCAGATGTTTGATATAAAATGAATAATTGTGAATTTATTAAAAATCCCACTCCTGGTGTGGCTCTGTAGGATAAGCACTAGACTGCTAATTGTGCATTTTACCCACCAGCCACTCTTCAGAAATCCTATTTTGAGTTACTATGATTCAGAACTGACTTGACAGCTAGTAAGGTATGCTCACCATGGAATGGTCAACATTCAAGGGGAAAAGGGTATCATTTACCTAAGGGCACAGTTCAGAAAGGTGGGATAGGAGGTTGGAATAGAAATAAGAAACAGACAAGGAGTGGAATAA